GCTTTACTTTTATTCTCTCACAAGGCGGTAAAAACTTCTGGTTTGGTCAGGATGCCATTTTCTTTGTGATCCAGAGAGGCTCTGTGACTCTCCCAAAGTCACCCAGCTAGTGGTGGGGAAACTGAGGTAAAACCCTTTTGTTCTAGCTCTTGGCTAATCTGACAAATCTCTGTCTATCAGAGAATGAAAAGACAGATGGGAACTGTCATCCCAGATAATACTTTTTGTAACAATTTTTAATTAAAAATGCTGAATGAAGTTCATCTTTCTTTAAAAACTTTACATGAAAATTATATTTAAATATTATTTATAAATGCCAATTACATTCTCCCATGTTCTTCCCTGGACACTTAAAAAAACATGCCCACTTGGAACACCTTATTCGTGTATTAATCTGTGTGATCTGTGTGTGTGCATGCTAAGTCACGTCAGTCATGTCCGACTCTTTGAGACTTTATGGATTGTAGCCCACCAGACTCCTCTGTCTGTGGTATTCTCCAGGCAAAAGTACTGGAGTGGGTTGCTATGCCCTCCTCCAGGGGATCTTCCCAACTCAGGGACTGAACACGTGTCTCTTGTGGCTCCTGCATTGCAGGTGTATTCTTTACCTCTGAGCCACTGGGGACGCTGCTTGTATTAATCTACCCTATGCTTATTACTTCTTAGCTCTGTAAACTTAGACAACTAACAAAGCTTTCTAAGTCTCACCCCTTTATCACTTATAAAATGGGTAATAATTTGACAAAACTCTTGGAGTCATCAAGAGTATTATGTGTTGGCTAAGAATTTACTAGCATTGATATTGCCGATATACTATATGACATAATCATTGCTGCTTGTGCAGAATTGAATGTTACTTCTTTATTGTTTATCTAAAATTCCCTTACAAGAGGTATCTCATACACCCTGTTATATTTATAATATACATAATGCTTTACTACATTTTTCTTAATTAAAAATTAGAATCTATAATATATATAGATGGAAGGGTTTTTATTTTTGGCTACGAAACATGTTCAGGGCTTCCCTGATGGCTCAGTGGTAAAGAATCCACCTGTAATGCAGGAGACACAGGAGATGCAAAAGTATAATAAATAAAACCCAGCAAAGGACTCAAGATCATTTTGCTGAAATCTTATAGATCCCTGCCTATACATTCTTAGAAACATGGGGCACATGAACAGACAAAGTTTGTCCTTTGAAAATAGCAGAGTGTGACTTAAGAAAACTCTTCCCTGGGTTGGGAAGATCCCCTGAAGGAGGAAATGGCAATCCACACTAGTACTCTTGCCAAAAAAATTCCATGGACAGAGAAGCCTAGTGGGCTATAGTCCAAAGGGTCACAGAGGTGGACAAAGAGGTAAGCACTCATGCCACATATTCATTGTGTTTCTCCTTCTAAAGAGAAAGCATGCACTGGTCCTCACTACAACAAGAAAATAGATTTCTAGAACTGGAAATACCCTCAATTCCCAGACAGTCCCCGTCACACAAGAGATTGCAGTGTTCTAAGATTTTTGAGTCATATAATGAGTTCAGATGATTCTTGAGACAGGCCTTCAGATTAGACAAACAGAAACAGTACATATCACCACAAGCTTCCAGGAAATGACGTTAAATGTATCACAATCCTTTGTACAACTGTGATAAGGATTGCATCACCTACATCTGAACATCCGGCATATAAAATGAGGGCTCCAAAGTGCGGTGACCCTTTGCCTACACTGGAGGGAGAACAGACCCCAGCCTTACTTACAGGAAGAGGAGCACCGTGGAGCTCTACTTGGGAGGTAATCTTGCTTTTAAAATCATCCAGCTCATAAGAGACCATGATAAAATTTCAAGAACTTGCAAAGCATATTTTTAAAGTAAAAGTCCACAGTGTAATAAAAGTATAATAAGTGAAACCAGCAAAGGACTCAAGATCATTTTGTTAAAATTTTATAGATCCCTGTGCAAAATATGCCAATACATTCTTAGAAACATGGGGCACATGGAAGAGATAAAGTTTGTACTTTGAAAATAGCAGAGTGTGACTTAAGAAAACTCAGGCTAGAGCTTTAAGTGAGTTTTCAGAAGGCAGGAAAGGGCTGAGAGATGAGGTCGGGGGTTCAACAAGACAGACTGTAAAGAAAGTCAAAGTGAGCTGAGGAGAAAACTACCAGAACAGCAGCTTTACATTTTTATTCCCTTTTTACAGTAAGGGAGTGAAAAAATAGAGAGACGTGTGTGAGTGTGTGTTACATATATAAAGTCTAAGGGAAAAAGACTCATAGTTTATTAAAGGAATTCATAGTAATATCACTTTCTGTGCCCAAAGTTAACTTGATTAATATCAGAAGGAAAGTTAATGTTAAAACAGTCTTTCCCACATCTGCTACTCTCATAATGTCTGTGTGATTGTCATAAATTAGGAGTGGGGAGGGGCACAGTGCCAACTGTCAAAACAAATAGGCCATTCTGGATTCCAAGTTTCATAGTATTTTCCTTGATCCCGGGAGTCATGAAAGCTGCTGCTGCTAACCTCGGCCACCCCAGCACTGGAGCGGGAAAACCCGCTCACACCTGGATCCTGCCCCAGCCCTGCCCCCTGAGCAAGGAACCTGGGCGGCGTCAACTAGGGAGAGAAGTCAGGAGGGAACCCTGTCCCTCTAGTGTCTCGGGTCTTGGGAAGAGAAAATGAGCTCCCGACAGCAAGTTAATATAGCAAGTGACACTAGGGGAACACAAACGCTGTTAACTTCGGGGGTGGCACTTATGCCTCTGATTATTCATGGCTGCCTGATCTGCACATTCATCTTCCTCACTGACTATTCCACATGCCTTGAAGTCAAGGTCTATGCTTCGTACTTTCTGCACCTCATATAGCATCCAGCCTGTGGTGCGTTAGAAGATCACATCCATGACTTGGATGTTACGGGGCCAGATCAGGGAGTGACCTAGGCTAGCATGTCAGGCCAGCTTATGTTCTCTTTTCTTCCTGCTTCACACCCCCACAGGGTGTAGCCTTCAGGTTAAGACCTCCTTTCTCTGCTTCCTGGGCGTGGGGTTTGCACAAACCAGCTGGTGGTTGTACTAGGCTTGAGGAAAGAAGTCCTTGACAAGCCTCACCATACATCTTAACAGAAAGCTCTGTGTTTATATATCTTTCAGTAATGTCACGAGAAGGTCAAGGCAGGATTTAGAAATGTCTGGGGTCCTTGGTCTTGAAATAACCCTGTCAGCACCAGATTCTCACCACAAATTAATACATTTGTCTTTTTAAACATTTTTATTTTATATTGGAGCACAGCTGGTTAGCAATGTTGTGTTAATTTCAGATGTACAGCAAAGTGATTCATTTATATACATGCATACATCTATTCCTTTTCAAATTCTTTTCCCATTTAGGTTATTACATAGTATTGAGCAGAGCTCCCTGTAATGCGTTTGTCTTCTAGCAATGCTTTCTGTACTTAAAGGGAATCTTGGAGAGACAAAGGAGACAGGGCTCACTTGGCCAGCACTCTGCCTGCTAGATTCCTGTCAACTTTGTCCCTCTGGGTAACTTCCAACCCACAAAGTGGCCAGTGGCTGAGCTGCCAACAATCCTTGACATCTCTAATACCATCTATTGCTGATGGTGGCCCTTTCTCTGTCCCAGAAAAACTGTTACTTAAAAAGAATCACCTCAAGTTTAATGCCAGGTCGGTCTCAGCAAGGCCATGCCATGAAGTGGACCATCAGAACTCGTCTGAAGGTCTTGTTCAGCTTCTATATCAGTCGGTCTATAAGAGATCACTTTGTAGACTACCTCAAGTGAACAAACTGAACTAGGACTTTCATTCAGTAATCAAGAAAATAATTACTGATCCTCTACTCAACATCAGCAGACACTCTGGGTTCTGAGCACACACCAGTGCCTACACTGAGAGACAGAGCAGAAGGTGGGTCATGGGCGTATAAACACATAAAGATAATTTCAGATAGTAACAACGGCTACTCAGAAAATAAAAGGCTAGAGACAACTGGGAGTGGTTGTGAAGTGCTAATTCAGACAGGTTGGTTCTGAAAGGTCTCTTTGAGAAGGAGGCATTTGAGCTGAAACTGAGAGGTAAGAGTGGAAATCTTGGGAAGACAGTCCCTTCCAGGAGAAAAGCAGTACACCAAAGCCCTGAAGCAGGAACGAGTTAATACCCTTCTCCTGCTAGTTCACCTCCACTCTTCAGACCCAGCTCATGGTTCACCTCTTCTATGATGCCTTCTGAGACACACTACCCTCTTGAGTATCATTTCATTTTGTTTGCCCATCATACAGATAGGCACATACCAAAATGTGAATCATTGGGATCCTGAATGTTTGAATTCCATTTTTTCAGAGCACCAGATGTAAGTTCATGAAGGAAAAGGGGTATAAATTATAGCCCTTATTTGATAAACTAATAACTGCCCATTTAATCATCAGAAAAAGCTCTAAATGAGCCAGGATCTGCCTGGAATTTTCTGCTGCAACAGGGAGCATGAATGCTTGTAAGGACCCCTGGTCACCTGGAATAGGGAATCCTGACTTAAAATGAAGCCAGAAGACAAAGCTTTGCTGAAGGAGAAAATGTAAGGAACAAGTCTGCCATCTAGAAATGGTCCAGAGATAGCATTAGCTAGTTGAACACTTACAAAACCTAGTGGATACCAGTTTACAGAGTAAGAAAGGAAGACAAATCTATCCATCTACCTACCTATCTGTTTATCTATCACCAAATGGTCAAAATCTGGTATTATGAATTCATAATGGAATATTTAGTGAAAACTTTCTATCTAGGTTTTTTTTTAAAAAGTACTTTTAAGTCATCCCACTAATTATCAATCTGATATTTACCAAGTCTGAAGGAAAAATTCTTCATATAAGGATATTTGAGGGCTACCAATTAATAACATTTTCATGCATCAATCTGAACAAGAAATTGTAGTCAAATATTAAATTTATTTAATGATTTTACTGAAAACATAAAGAATGTTCTTACCAGTTGCCTTCTGGATTTATAAACTGCTGCACTGCATAGCCAAACTGTTCACTTGAAGGACCAGAAAATATCTTTGCTTTTGGGAGACCAACGTTGTATGCCACACAACAGTTTAAAATGCCTATAAAGAAAAATGAAAACAGTCCATATTTACATTTTGTGAATATAAGGTTGTAATATAATTCTCAAAGGCCACTTAAAAAAAAAAGATTGAAATAATAATTTTTCTCCGTTAATGCTTACCAAGAGTTTTAAGTATTAATTTGAGGCCCTGGCAGCATGCTAACTACTTTATTTGCATGACTCACTATTTCATTTGGCCTCATAGCAACTCTAGAATATGATCGCTATTATTATACTTGCTTTGCAGAAATTTCTGAAGTTGTTGGAAATACGTGTGTCTCAGGTAGAAAGGGATAAGGGAAGGCCAGGATAAGGCTGTCTGACTGAAGAGCTTGAACTCGTAAACCACATATTACCTTTAGGGATTCTTAAGTAACTCCGGTTCTATTTCACTTCGTAATGCAAGAAGACTCTAAGGCACCCGAAGGCAGGGTCAGAGGGTTATCTTCTATTTCTCCTGAAGATCTTGACATGAACTCTATATGAAATGTCCGTTGGTAAAGCATTGCTGACTACATCAAAGGAGTTAAAAAAAAAAAAACACAGCTGCTTGAAAATTGTTTCCTTTCTTTCAGAAGGGATCACTTTCCAGGATGAAAATGTAGGGAAAGGGGTCAGATGTTTCATTCCAGCAGGAACTGCAGAAGTGGTTTTGCTTTTTGATGTGTCTTTCTGAATACTCGAGAAACAATATTCATTTTCAAAAACAACAAAGGCCCTGGTAGGATAAAACCTGGATAGATCTTTTTGAAAAACCTTGTTTTTGATGGAAAGAAAAGAGGGGAAAGAGTCGGGTTGATGAAGACCACCCTCTCTGACCCTGACGGCATTGACACTGGCTGCGCTGCATTCTGGAGAAAGAAGGTAGTGTGGACATTTATATTTTCTATGGAGATGGGATGGGGTTTCCCAGGTGGTGCTAGTGGTAAAGAACCTGCCTGCCAATGCAGGAAACATAAGAGACACGGGTTCGATTCCTGGGTTGGGAAGATCCCTGGAGAAGGAAATGGCAACCCACTCCAGTATTCTTGCCTGGAGAATCCCCATGGAGAGAGAAGCCTGGCGGGCTACATAGTCCATGGGGTCACAAAGAGTCAGACATGACTGAAGCGACTTAGGGCACAGAGATGGGAACAGGCTTCAAGCTGTATGAGATCAGTAGTTATCTTTGCAGACACTGAAGGCAATGTGAGTTCTTCAAAACTGACATCAAAGTTCCATAACTATGCGTCTTCACAAAGGAATACCCTACTTTCTGGGCAACACTGAAAGGGCATCATTGTTTCAGGCATTGAAAGGATGGAGGAAAAGGGCTGGCTCTCCTGTTATGCCCTTGTACTTTGGGAGCAGATTCTGAAATGTGCTCCAAAAGGAATAACGAGGTCAGTGATGAAGCTTTGGGGACTGAAAGTAGTTGACGTTGACGTCTCTCTTCACATGCCAAAATCATTCCACCATAAATGTTTTCACTCAAGAGTGCTCAGCTCATTATTGGCTTTTTTTTTTTTTTCAGAAATAATGTGCTGCCAGGAAGAGGACAATTTTCAAATACTCCATAGCAAACACTACACAGCTTTACATTTGCAGATTTTCTCCTTAATATCATTTTTTTCAAATGCACCACTCCTTTATCCTTTTCAGGAAACTAAATGCAAGTGAAAATAACACAATGTTGGAAGCAGAGAACCAGAACTGACTTTCAGAATACTGGTGTTTCAAATCAAGAATTTAACTTTGCCCCATTGTACAGAACTCGGTAAATCTCATTTAAATATGTTACCAATTATCTAATGAATCAGTAAAAGCTTGGGGAGGTAAACTGTCCCCTCTTTTAAAATATCTAATGCTGGAAAGGCCACATATGACTATATAAGTGTGTATATACATGTGTGTGTATATATATATATGAAATGACCTCATTTTCCCCCCATTAATCAGACATTGGCAGATCATGTCATGACATGAAATCATGATAGGCCCCATTTTATCACCTAGCAGTTAAATTTTATTACATATATGTGTGCATATACACATATATATACTATGTGTATACATACACACATGTACATGTATCAGTTCAGTTCAGTTTAGTCATTCAGTCATGTCCGACTCTTTGTGACCCCATGGACTACAGCACACCAGGCCTCCCTGTCCATCACCAACTCCTGGAGTTTACTCAAACTCATGTCCATCAAGTCCGTGATGCCATCCAACCATCTCATCCTCTGTTGTCCCCTTTTCCTCCTGCCTCCAACCCCTCCCAGAATCAGGGTCTTTTCAAATGAGTCAATTCTTCACATCAGGTGGCCAAAGTATTGGAGTTTCAGCTTCAACATCAATCCCTCGAATGAACACCCAGGACTAATCTCCTTTAGGATGGACTGGTTGGATCTCCTTGCAGTCCAAGCGACTCTCAAGAGTCTTCTACAACACCACAGTTCAAAAGTATCGATTCTTCAATGCTCAACTTTCATTACAGTCCAACTCTCACATTCACACATGACTACTGGAAAAACCATAGCCTTGACTAGACGGACCTTTGTTGGCAAAGTGATGTCTGTGCTTTTTAATATGCTGTCTAGGTTGGTCATAACTTTCCTTTCAAGGAGAAATGAAATCTTTTAATTTCATGGCTTCAATCACAATCTGCAGTGATTTTGGAGCCCCCAAAAATAAAGCCAGTCACTGGTTCCACTGTTTCCCCATCTATTTGCCATGGAGTGATGGGACTGGATGCCATGATCTTAGTTTTCTGAATGTTGAGCTTTAAGCCAACTTTTTCGCTCTCCTCTTTCACTTTAATCAAGAGGCTCTTTAGTTCCTCTTCACTTTCTGCCAT